CAAATGCAATTGGGAATGCAGCAAAGGTCTCATCTAGGAGAGTTTTATCACGTAGGAAATGTACGCCCCCCTGGTGGACCAGGGAGCTCACTGCCAAGCGAGCGGAACTTAAGCGAGTAGCGAGGCTCCGAGATCCCGGTGACGATGCTAGTATGGCCGACTACCGGGAATTGAGGAACCAATTCACTGCACTACTGCGCAAGGCGAAGATTCAATCGTGGAGGTCATTCTGCTCAGCGGATGGTACCAACCCGTGGGGCAAACTTTACAGATGGCTCAAGAAGGGCTCAAAAGAGTCATCAATCTTGAGAGCCCTACAGCACACCGACGGGACTTTGACGACCAATGCGACTGAGACCGTTCATCTCCTAATGGACACACTTATTCCGCATGATGTCGCCCCGCCTGCTCTTCCTGCCCCGGCTGGACACCGTAACCCGATCATGGCAACGAAGGAGTTGCTGAGATTAGCTCTTTGGAGAACCGCTCCGACTAAGGCGCCTGGCCTGGATGGCATAAACGCCAAAATGGCTCGCATGGCTTGGCCGATTATTGGTGACCAATTTTACGCTTTGGTTCTAGAGTGCTTTCGGAACTGCCACTTCCCTGACAGGTGGAAAGAGGCGGAAGTTGTAGTCATTAAGAAGGGACCAGAAAAAGACCCCACGGTGCCGAAATCTTACAAACCGATCAGCTTGCTTCCCACGCTGTCCAAGGCTGTGGAATATGTGATCTGTGATCATATCACTCGGGAAATTCAACCAAACCTTAGCGGCCTTCAGTATGGTTTCACCAAGGGACGATCTACAGAGGATGCGATTCAGGACCTCTTATCCTTTGTTGATGAAACTCCGGAACGGTACGCCCTATGTTCCTTGTTGGACATATTCGACAATCTCGTATGGCCCTCCTTAATGAGGGATATGACAGCGCTTGGTTGCTCAATTGATTCGATGGCCATTACCCAGAGCTACCTGAGTAACAGACTGGCCACAATCACCCTTGGTGGCGTCAGACATTCAGTCAGGCTAACGAGGGGTTGCCCGCAAGGCTCTTTGTTTGGTCCATTGTTATGGTCTATTACCATGGAGGCGTTGCTCCGTCTACAATTACCCAGGCACACAAGGATTCAAGCTTACGCAGACGACATTGCAATTGTCACAACGGCGTCATCCCGTGCGGAGCTCATTGCGCGAGCAGAAGAGACCCTCCTGCTCACCCATAATTGGGGCGCATCTCATGGTCTGCAGTTCTCGACCCAGAAATCTACCACGGTATTGTTAAAATCCAGACTAGTAACAGGTTTCACGCTGAAGTTCGGAGATGGGCGCATCAGAACAAGTGATAACGCTAGGTATCTAGGCGTTATCCTTGACCAGAAGCGGGCTTTCTTCCCGCATATCAAGTCGATAGAAGAGAAAGACTATGATCTTTTCTCCAGGCTACGAGGTTCTTTCGGTTCCGACTGGGGAAATGATCAGAGCAACATGCGGTTTCTGTATAATTGTGTCTTCTTGCCGAAAGTGGCTTATGGTTGTAAGTTTTGGGCACACATTGTTGACCATTCCCATGTCCGTCGTTGGCTTTTTAAAATACAAAGGAGGGCACTATTAGGTATGACTAGCGCCTATAGCACAGCTGCCAATCTATCACTGCAGGTCTGTGCGGCAACCCCACCACTTCACTTGATGATCAAGCACCTTGCTGTCATTCGTGACGTGCGAGACATCCCTCTTGCGGATCGTAACGCTCGAATAGCTGAGAGCTGGAGCTCACTCCTCGCGTCCGACTCTGTGGTCCGAAGGCGACACTGGCAGGTGGACTTTCCGCTTCTTTCCGGAAGTCGCGTTCCGACTGTCCATCCCTCTAAAACTCGATCACTACATCATGCAATTCTTTACTGGACATGGTAATTTCCGTGCCAAATTGCATTCTCTTTACCTTGCCCAATCACCCATGTGTGACTGCGATGATGGTGACGAGACAGCGGAGCACGTATTGTATCACTGCCCCCTACGTCGTGATCCCCGTGCCAGACTTGAACTTGCGGTTCACCGAGCTGGTTTTCTATGGCCATGCGAGCCCTCGATCCTAGTATCATCTCGCAAACTGTTTAATGCCTTCACAACTTTTGCGAAGTCCGTGCTTCAGACACGTAGGGACGTTTGAAAAGGGTACTGAACGCCAGGTAGGTGACGAGCCTTCCCCTGGTCGTGTACCCAATTCAACCCTCCTAAAAGAGCTCAAGATTCGGTGGCGATCCATGCAGTTATTCTTCTCCGGCTCCGTGCTGAGGTCCGAGGGAACTACATCCTTCAGCGCGCTACCCTTCCATCCGTACGAAATTCGTTCGTGTCGCGATACAGGTGCGAACCTGCCGGCCACTACCATACCGAGGCATGTGGGAGCTATAGACCACACTCCGCCGGGAGTCAAATCACGAGGGATTGGCCAAAAAAGGATTGGCGCGCGAGCCAAGCGGTGGAAGCTCCGTGGCCTTTCATGTGCGCGTAAGTGCATCGAGCACTGTGCAGTGCACAACACTGAGCGGACGGTTCATAGAACCATACCTTACCGGGTAGCACTCAGCGTGGCCAGATCGACGAGGGCTAGGTTGGCACGAAGACCACGCTGAGTTTGCTCAGTAGGGGTCGATCGTGCGCCGGGCGCGGGCGGCCAGTTTACTGGCCGCGGGTATCCCTGTGGTTAGGGGAGAAAGAATACTTCCAAGGTCTCACCTTGGATTATATATATAATTATTGCATAAAACATAATAGAATAATATTAAATTTGGTACAATATTTGACGTTACCGTCCAATGTTTTCATCCATCCAAACGCGGAGGGCTAAACATTGAGCCTTCGCACAGGTTTTGTTTTGAGCGCGGTCCGTGTGAAATGGACATACGTGTTGTTGTTGTTGGAGCATCCGGCACTTGGGACAGCCGTAAGCTTCCAGGTCGATGACCGTGCACTTCGGTAGATAGCGTTGTAGGAGGTTCCGCTTTTGGATGCCTTTGACGTAAACAGCAGTGTAGCGGCTGTTAACGGCGCCTAGGACGCGCGCCAGCTCCGAATACGGTATGTGACCGTCTGTATAGCGGATACCGTGAAAGTTTGTTTGCAACCAAACGTTTACTTTCGTGCTTTGCGGTGACAGCCGAAAGGTAGGCGGATGTTGAACCAACCAATGCATCACGTGTGTAGCTCTTTGCGCGTCCGCTATGCATATTTCTTTGATGACCATGTGAAGGTCCGAGTCGACCACGCACTGAACGTCAATAACCGCTGAAAGCATTTTGTCAAACTGAGCTATCCGTTCGTTTGATCCAAGCATTATACTTGATGGGCAACCCGACGTATTTCACGAACTGCTTGCCCCCCTTCCTCCGGACAATTTTTTCTATTAAATACGTGTTGGGATAACGCGTCCGGTTCATCTCTTGCGCGTAGAACGTTCCGTTAACCGGCGCGCCGCTCTTATCGCGCACTGTATAAACTGTAGGCGCTGTCCGTCGTACCCCGGACACGGTGAAAATTTCGTTTGACCAACTTTGCGCATAGCCCTTATCAAATACCGTTTTATGTTTGCTCAGGCGTACGGCATCGCCCACGGCGAATTTAGGTTTGCCGCCTGCCGCCGCCGCCGGTTTCGGCAACCGGTAGAAAACAACTCTCCCGGGCTCGCGGGACGCGTCGTTCGGCGTCATTCGGATGGACGGTCATCATCGTCAGCAGATCACACCTATTTCCCTGAGTTCCTCCTCACACGCGATAATTTCGTCGTGCACGGCGGTATTGCCCGCGGCTCTGAGCAAAGCGAGGCGGTCGACTATTTCGTTTGCGTCGTCCCAGTAAACATATTCTTTGTCCTTCCCCGTAACCGTCAACCGCGTAATTCCGTCACCCGTCTTGGCCGCGGCGCGAACTGCGGTCAGGTCGCGTCCGTTCTCGTTGAACAACTGTTTGATAATGTACTTATACTTGTATCCGCGGTTCGTTTTCGGTCTACCGGACGACAGCAAATAACATCCTGTGTGAATGAGAAAATTGCGATACGTGGTCAGATCGCTTTCGGTGATGAATTGCATGCGGGGTACCGAGCTGCACACCAATTCTTGGAGTCCTTTCGTGAAGGATATTTCGGCTAACGTGCCCACTTTTATACGGTTCTTGGTGAACCGTACTGCTTTATCACCCATCACCCATGTTCCGTCTGGTTGTAGATGAATGCCGTACGACGGATTGCTTTCGGTAATACGGAGTTCTTCTGCTTTTTCTTCTTCTTCTCCTTTAGACTCATCTCTCCGGGTGCCACGCGCTTGCGTCCGCTGCGCCGACAACTCGCGATAATACATCTGATTGAGAAGGGTAGGAGGGGACCGTGACGGCGGTGGTGGCCGTCAGCAGTGGCTGGGTCGTCGTCGAGCCGCAGAACGGTTAATTTGTGTTCTTGCGGTTCGAAAAACATTATAAAGGCGGTGTTGCAGACCAATGCCGTGTCCAAACGTAAACGGTGCGTCGTCGTCGAAGGTTGTCAGCGAACAAGATCGGTCGGGTTATCGTCACTGCGGTTATAAGCTCACTACTGTAATGCCTCGTGTCAACCGACGTAAACGGAAGGGACGGCGGTCTGCACCGAAAACCGGAGGCGGGCTGCGCTTCGGCAGTCTCGTAGCTGCCGCTCGGGCTGCGATGCACAAAGCGAAACCGTTAATGGTCGCTGCGGCAGCGTGGAAGGCGTTATCCGCCGTCAACCAGGTACGTCGGAAAGCCAGAGGAAAACCGGTTCTCCGACCGCGCACGTTGGCCGTGCCGAAAATCGGCGGCGCGTTCGCGCTTGTGCCTTTTCTCTCAGCCCTGTCAGCGATCGGCTCACTGCTCGGCGGTGCGTCGGGATCGCTGACAGGGCACCCAATTGATATTAAACGGTGGCGGCGAATTTGGCGGCGATGGTGGTGAATATCTGTAGTGCATTTTGATTTGGTTGTATGTGTGAATGTGATTAAATGGTTCAGTGTGTTCGTTTATATATGGTGTGCGTGGTTATTTCGTCCCTCCATTTTCTTTGTGTTATCATTGTACGCGGTCTAACGGGAAATAACCTTATCAGGTTTCGACCGTCAGGTCATCCACACTATCGCACGGTGGTGGTGGTGGTGGAGCAATGCTCACACCGTCTGACTTGATTACTGGTGTAGTACTCGTCTTCTCCTCCTCCTCCTCCACCACGTCGTTCCTGTTATAATTACTATGCACTAAAATTATAATCAATAGGTTTTTTTTTTACTTACTTATCTGTGTAACCGTCAAGTAACTCTGCTAAATTCCATTGTGAGTTAGGCATCATCATCGTATTAACATTTTCTCCCCATATTTCGTCGCACAGCCGTTTGTACTCTATGACCGCGATTTCTTTGTAATAACTTGGTTCTCGCGGCGGTAATCCGTGTACAGGATGGTTCATCATTGCGGTGTACACCTCATCGACCGACATTGTTGCGTATCGATTTATCACCTCCAGCGTCATCGCATTCTTCATCGTGTGTGTGTGTGTGTGTGTGAGATACCAGTAGTGATAACAGGATTGTGATATCAGTAGTGATACCGGGATCGTGATACCAGGATCATGATACCAGGATCGTGGTAGCTGGTTCGTGATAACAGGATTCGATACGGCCAAAACATACTACTTACCTCTACATTTTATTTTCCTACACATAAATGGAATTATTGACTATTCGCGCCGGTAAACCGAATTTTAACTTTAGGAAATAAACTTAAAAATTTTGTTTTTTTTTTTATTCTCTTATAGATATAAGACATAGTTTAGGGTTCGTGCTTTTTGATTCCAGTCGAGAAGCGAGAAAAAGACACGCTATTAAGAGTTATTCGAGATTGGGTTATACCGGGAACAACAATAATTAGCGATTGTTATAAAGTGATTAGTGATACTAATGAATAACGGTTATAAAAGAAAAACAATTAAATAGGCTAATAACGCATGTATTTTCATTAAATGACATTTTTAGAGTTATGATTAAAAATTCGAGGGATATGCGCACATGACAGTGAACCACTCCGTACATTTTTAAGATCCCGACACCACGTTAATATGGTCAATGACTTTCTATCGAGCCCTCTGCCAATGTCCAAGCCTGTCAAACCTTTCAGACCAGGAGAAATTCAAGCGACAATCAAAAAATTACCTAAAGGCAAAGCTCCTGGTAATGATCTTATTACCAATAAATTATTGATGAACCTTTTCCAAAAATGTATTCTCCTTTTAATCTTTATTTATAATGCTATACTCCGACTTTCCTACTTTCCCCCTATCTGGAAAATAGCCGTAGTTATTGTCATACCTAAGCCCGGCAAACCAAAAAACTTAGTTATGTCATACAGGCCTATTAGTTTATTGCCTACATTGAGCAAACTCTTTGAAAAATTACTATTAAAAAGAATTCGACCAGTCATACAGGAACACAATATAATCCCTAATACCCAGTTTGGGTTTCGTGCAAGGCATTCCACAATTCATCAAATCCACCGACTGACAGATGCGATCGCTTCATCTTTTGAAAACAAGCAATATTGTACTGGCTTATTTCTTGATGTCGCTCTAACGTTCGATAGAGTTTGGCACAATGGTTTACTTTCCAAATTGAAAAAAATATTTCCAGCCCCTTTATATCTCATTATAAAATCATATTTACAAGATAGAAAATTCATTGTCAGACAAGGTTGTGCTTATTCATCTTACTACTCAATTGAGGCCGGGTCTCTCAAGATAGCGATCTTTCTCCCGACCTTTATAACATATTTACTGCTGATGTGCCGCAAAGTTGTAACACATTACTAGCTACGTTTGCTGACGATACAGCTATTCTAAGTCGTCACAAAAACATAAACGATGCGGCTCACCATCTCCAATCACACACTAACGCTTGTGAGAAATGGTTTAGGAATTGGAAAATCAAAATCAATGTAAACAAGTCCAGTCAAGTCACCTTCGCCCTCCGTCCGGAAATAAGTCCCGCTATAATACTTAACAATACAATTATCGCTACTCAAAATGAAACAAAATATCTTGGTCTAACTCTTGACAAACGTCTAACCGGGGGACCACACCGCAAAGAAAAAAGGAAAAAATCAAATATCCGACTACATCTTTTGCGCCCTCTGCTAAAGTCTAATCTGTCACTCAAGACTAAACTGCTTATATACAAGTCAATAATTCGTCCAATATGGGCTTATGGAATACAAATATGGGGACCAGCTAAACCGTCAACTATAAGACCAATACAAGCGTTCCAAAATATTACACTGCGAATGATTACAAATGCTCCTTGGTATATAACAAACTATAACTTACATAAAGACCCGCCGAAACTGATTGAACTGGCGGCGCCGGTAGCTGAGGGTGAGCACGTCCTCCTGCTCCGTACACGAACTGGCCGGGTTCCGCCGCCCCACAAATAGGGCGTACTTCTCGCTGTTCCGGTCGTGGCTGGCGTTGGGCTTGAATAACACCAGCTCGTCGAAATGCTTGAAGGCGTGTCAAAGTAGACCGCAGTACCTCGTATCCACGACGTCGAATAACTTGACCATCAAGCTACCGCCGATCGCCAGTGTCGCGAGGCCTACGTACAGCTCGGTCGAGATTAGGGCCGCATTACGACGGGACTCGTCAACCGACTTGTCGTGCGACGCCTCGTCAGCACCGTCGGCGACCAGGGAGCGGACAGGCCGCCCGCAGGATCTTGGCCACGAGACACGCGCTGCGATCCTCGCTCACCTCCTCCTCGTAATAGACAAGGCCTGAGCACTTGAGCTTTATACGCGCCGTACCGCATGCGAGTGTTGTAACAGCGGACGTACGACGCCGAATCGCAAAAGAATATCCCGCGATTCGCGCACCAGCGTTCCGTAGTAATCGAGTCCTTGTCGATATACATGGCCGATATCCGCGCCGCCGGCCCCTGATCTTCGACCGGGTCGACCGCGCGGATCGACCACGGAGCAGGTGGGAATACGTAGCTGTAATCAGCATTCCGGTCTAGGAGGTTGGCGAGTTGATGGAGGCTCTAGCATCCAAAGATTGCGTACGGTCCATCGTAATCGGGCGCGGCCATGACTGTCTGTTAATTACTCATCACTGATGAGATAGCGAAACGGCCGATGACGTTTGTTCGCTGGGCCGTCGTCGCTGACATTCGCTCGTTTCGATTCACAGTCGAACCCTTGCACGCAAGCCGCGATCAACAAATCCAGTGACGTTAGCCCGACCAAAGCATGCGAGGTTGTAGATGTCCGACCAACGTTCCGCCCCTTTTTATACCGGCTCGATGAAGAGTCTAGGGTGGCGGCTTGGCGAGGGGTGGGCGGTCGAGATTATATATAGCCGACGGCAAACTATCGCCTACCTCACTCCCGGCCCCAAAGCCGCATCACAATCTGGAGAACTTGATTGGCTGACCGGCTGGCGTATGCGCCACCCACACCCAACTCTCGGGAGTGGTGGAAAATTATTCGACGTACCTTGGAAAGAGTGGCCAAATAATTCACCGATTCGGGAGCGCGGGGGGTGGCGCATGCGCCACCCGCACTCTGACTTTTTATCCTTAGGATGCGCGTTAAACTATGTTTTAATGGAAGCACATCCATAATCTTGTGCGAGGATTCATTTTAATGATTGTTGCCTCACACCAAAGTCTGGACCTCTTTAGCAACGGTCTTGCTTCCCTTGCCAAGGGGACCCACAGTGGTCCGGAATCAAAAATACTTGGCCAAAATCCCTCCTACATTTTTTTTTTTCAAATTTTTTTGTGCTCACAAATTATGAGAATGTTTGAGCTATTTAATTTCAAATAGTTAGTTTTAATTCATAGATTTTTTGTTGGGAAATAATATGTTTAAATTGGTAATAATCGTTTAAAAAAAAAATAACCGCTCATTACCGCCAATTTTGCTAAATTAAAATGTATAGCTTTAACATTAAAAAAATTCGAAATCTTGTTAATTACGATTAGTATAGATATTAATAAACGATTTTCAATGATTATTAGTATTATTTTGGTCGAATAATATTAAGTAATAACTGTACACAACGAAGAGTCTAAAAATAGAACTATATGCTATCTAAAATTACGATTTTACTATGTTTATTCACGAGACTTCACGCCGTTTTTTACGCTACATTGTAAAGGCTTATCTGCTCAATGATAAACTCTTTTCATATCTTGCGCTTTTTTGGTAACGAGCTGTTTAAATATAACTTGCACCGAGGACGCTACGCGTTGCAACTGCAACGCCGGAACTCTAACGATTTATTTATTTCATTTATTTTGTGACCTTTCCGTAAACATGCAGGCTGCAATTAATTTACCTGTAGTTAAACGTATTGATATTCATGAACAAATATTTAATAAGTCGTTTCAGTCGTTAGCTGAAAAAAAGTCATTCGCCCAAAATTTTATTTTTTAAATTTTAAAAATAGATATACATAATGTAGAGTTACATGATGCGAAACAAGTAGTTATTAAAGTGTTAGCTGCGTCTTTTTTTAACAGGTAAGTTTTTATAAAAAAATTCAAAATATGTTGTAAAAATCATCATAGATACATCACAAAATCTAATTTTAATTAATTTTTATATAATTATTTACTTTTGGACTTTCAACACTACATGCCTACATACGTTTTTTTGAGTGTCAGCGTTATTGTTAATTTAATTGTTTGGTCATCAGTCTCAAGTCGCCGGAAGCACTGCCCGCATTTATTTAAAAAACATGTAATCTTTATTGATGACGTGGTCATCATATAACAACTGCTAGACGTTTTTTTAAGAACCATAAAACATCATCTGAGATTACGGGTATTGATGAAAATTTAATTTTTCGCTGCAATGTAATTCTACAAACATTATCATGAGGTTACACAGTAAATGCGGATTTATTTGGCAAATATTGTTGGGATACGGCTATATTATATACAACTATGTATGACTGGTATTACATGCCACCATCGGTTCACAAAGTTTTGCTGCATGGGGCATCTATAGTACGTTCATTTTACCAATAGGGCAAATGAGCGAAGAAGCTCAAGAAGCCCGAAATAAAGATATTAAATACTATAGACTAAAGCATACAAGAAAGACTTCGAGAATAAATTTAAATATTGATATGTTTAATAGATTATTATTGTCATCGGATACATAAATAAGTAGTCTCGGCAAAAGTTAGAGAAAGAAAAAGCAACTTTTGCCATGGGTTAAAAAATTATTACTCGGATTCGAAGACTGTGAAAATTCTAGTAGTAGCGATTATGATAGTAGTGGTGATGATTAAAATAATATTAAAAATTATGTAAAAAAAAAAAAAATAGTACAATTTTTTTTTAAATTTAAAAAAAATGTGCTTATTTTTTTTTTTTTTTTTTTTTAAATATTATTTCAGTATTATATATTAGATGGTTGAAAATGAGTTAA